AGCTTACAGGCCAGACAGGAACGTAAGCCATTCGTGTCGGCACGAGCCTCATATAAAATTAATTTGGGCAGAAGGCGTTGATACATCGCTTCCTTCACGGGGCGCTGTGCTCATATATTTTTATATGAGAGAACTAACATTCATTTTCTCTGTCCTGTTCCTTGAATATTGTTTACCTTAAATTTATCCGTAGTGATGCGAGGATACAAATATGTTGTACCGCCCTTAAAAAATTCATGAACTGAACCATTTATAATCGTCTATTTCAAATAACGTAAGTAATCAAAATCGGCAGTGGAAGCAAATAGCTTAAATAGCTTATGGGCCATGTTTTAAGAAAAAATGTAACAGACTTGATTCAATGAAATAAGGAAATTTTGTGAAACACTTAAGTGCAATGGTTAACTTTGGTAATTTGAAAACGAATCTTCAGAACTGATAGCGGACCCTGATCCTCATTAGCACGCCTTGTGTCATCTTCCCCTGGACGATCTTCATGTCCAAATTTTTCTAAAAATGCGCGCTACTTGATGTCCATTTTGGGCTTCCCATCTGTTGTCATAAACTTCTCGACAGTAACAATCAAAATTCTTCAACTGGCTGAGGTTGTGGTACATTTGCGGGGTTGTCTTCTCTCGGTACATAATTAAGTTATTCTGTTTCAACCAGTCCTGATCGCTCCTGGCATAATGGCGCCAATCGGGTCAAGCCAAAATATTATATCGCCATTCTGATGATGGCTGTTAATAAAGTTGAGCCATTTTGGAAAGCGTATTTGGGTATAATGCTCGGTAACCACAGCTTTTCCTAAAACTCGAGCCCAGCCTCTGAAATAGAGCACCAGACTAGAACTTTGTCAGCAAAATTCGCCTTTGCTTTCACTCTTACTTTATCTGGACTGTTTTCTGCATCAGACGTGTAAAATACATCGTTGACTTTCATTTCTGGATGCAACAATATAAATCATTATACATTACCCATTATAATTACAAAATGCCTACGCTTCAAGGTGATACCACATTCGTGTTTTTTGAGTTATGCCAGAGTATATTTATTTGAGACGGTCGAAATGGACATCTCTGCCTTCTGGCTCTGTAACCCAGACCAACTAAAGGCAGCGCTGTTTTGTAGTTATTAGCAACTCATCGGTGCAATATAGGTCTTAGGACTAGTCTTGTCTATTCTAAACAGTGGTAGTCTTAAAACCTCAAAGCATTGTTTGCAAGTAGGTGAATATCTGGAGATCGCCACCTATCAATGGTTTGGTAAGCTGATTTTCATGTTTACCCTATATTATGGATAGCAGTAACCTTGTTTGAAAATTTCATCAAAATCTGAGCGGTACATCTTGAGCTATAGGCGGCCCGAGGATTAGCGGACACGCAGACCGCAGACAAACCGACAAATATTCTGACAGACTCACCGACAGACAAACAGACCGGCGGAAATGCGTAACATAGTTTTTGGTGATGTACATGTCATATAATATAAAACAGTGACGTAGGAAGTAACCTCTGTTATTTAGAATTATCCTTGACCCAAAACTTCTTCTAACTACCTTTCCAATTTCATTTACCTTAACGACAGCACTAGGACTATGATATGAGAGCAAAATGAGTACAAGTCCGTCTAGATTGAGGTAGAGTTCTGTTGTACTTTTTATTCCTTTTTGTTCTGGTTAACTTGAAGAGAACAACAAAGTACTTAGAACTTTTTAAGAAGTATTTGTCTTCATGAACGGCTGTGCCGAGAAACAAGCTTTTTCTAAGTTTATTCCAGCCTTCGTTCCTATTAGATAAGTTTCTGGGAAACGGAATTTAGTTCAGCCGCGGCGGTTTAGCCTGAAATACCGATGGCGAAGTTGAAAAAATTCTAGCTTAAATATGGAAATGTTGTGACTTTGATTTGCTCGACTTTCAGTTCCAGCTACAACTGTGCACTCTTTTAATCGCTGTACAGCCTTAAGAGTTGCCGCACACTAAGCGATTTTTTGCAGTCCTTAGGCGCCTACACTGATGGAACTTTCTGCTGCCGAAGCCTGTAGCTTTAATATGAGTGGAAAATGTAAGATCAGTTCGAACCGATCACTAATGGCCTTGTTGTGGCCTTCACCAACCCGGTGGCCTAAAGTTATGTGCTTTTTGGTGACTCATCAGCATGGGGTCTAGGCTTAATCTCTCGGACAAAGAACGAAAGCATAGCATACACTATCAAAGTTTGAGATCTATCGAAATAAGACAGCACGACGCGCCGTTCGACCCAAAAATCCTAGACCATACTGATGAGTAGCCAAAAATTACGAAACAGCTGCTCATGGTTGGTTATCTCGGACGGTCGAAAGTAGCATGATTAACATGATCTGCAACAAGTTGCGGTACAAGCGCCGGCAACAAAAATGTGCCAAATGACTGTGGCGCGCCACATACGCATGACTCGTAATATGTGCCGGAACTTGCATATTTCTATTTGCAACATGTGCACGGCACTTTTTTACGGACAAAATATTGCAGATATCGAAGTTAATCTACCGGATGTAAATTGTGCAACATGTGCCGGACATTCTGAGAGTCTGCAAGATGCATACTATACCCGCTTCTGAAAAAAGCCTCTCACTATATGTATGTGCACTGTTACCTGCTACGGGGCGATGATAGATTTTTCAATTCTGTGAATTTAGGATTGTGCTGGACGTTTGATAACCACAACTTGTAAGCGTCCGCTATCCAATCTAAGCAGATCGATCTTGGATAACAATCGATCGCATTTGCATTAACACCCTGCACATCACCATTTCAGTCTATAATAATAATAATAGCATTTATTGCCCAACAGAATTTCTTCTCTCACTCAAGGAGGCAACTTGGAATATTTCCAACAATACTTGGTAGTCCGACCCACGCTGAGGATAAACTGAATCAATCTTGAAAACCCAGATACTTAAGAAATTTCTTTTGGACATGATCGATCCGATTTATATAACAGTTATAATAAGAACTCCAAACCAACAACCAACCAATTTGGAACGTACATATACAAAGTATAACCTCTTTAATGCAGTCTTTAATAAACTTACTGTTTCGAACAATGTAACATAAAGCTCTATCAGAACTATTTACAATTTGAGTGATGTGATAGTCAAAACTCATCCTACTGTCAAACGTCATACATTTCCTCCGGTATCATAAAGATAAATTACTATTTGTTGTTTTCGACAGAATGTAATCACTTTACATTTAGCGATATTTACATCAAGTTTATTCAATCGACACGAATCTTCCAACTTAGGGCCGTATCGTCAGTCGTTCCTACAATTGTAGGACGCCTTTATGGCCTCCTTGATTTTCATAGTATTTTCTCTCCTTCATAAAGGCTAGGGTATTTCTATGTTTCTCCTGTTGTGACATAACCTCAAAATAGAGCGCTCACACGTAACAGTAGAAAGCTATGGGAATCAAGGAGGCCATAAAGGCGTCCCTATAATTGTAAGAACAACTGACGGCCCTTATATAAATGACACTGTATGTGCTCACATCACAATGAGTGATGTTGATTTCAAATGACAAAATATTTTCTGTAGCGGTCTACTCAAAGCAACTCTGGAAACTGGCGTTGTTATACAGGTATATGGTTTTGTCATTTTCTTCGGCATTTATTGGTGAAGCTGGCTACACTTAAATGATACAAGTTATTACCTGTCACCAGCGGAAACTATAACTGCCAATGAAAATCGGCTCCGGATATTCGGTACCTACCTGTAGATCACTATTAATGGTACCTCTAATAACGACTTAATGTAAATTAAAATTTCACGTTTCATTCACGAAGTTTTATCTACGTTATACAAAATTAAACTAGCTGTTGCAAGGGTTTTTAAGAAAAATATTTCGCAGACGGCGCGGCGCTCAACGTTCATTTTAAAGCGGATGGAAGGTAAACACGACCTTTCGCCAGCGTTAAATAACTTAGCCAGCGGCAAATACTTTTGACATAAAATCGTAAACTGTGTTACTAAAATGGATTAACTTTCAAGGTCTGATGTCAAAACTAGATATTTCGGTCTTACAACTCTACAGTGAATAAATGACACCAACTTATACGAGTAGGACCTTTTGCGCGGTAGTTGCTGAAGTATCATTTTTTGCAAAATGGCTCTGGGTGCTGTCCATCTTATGACTTCTGGCTGTAAACAAATTATCTAAAGCCTTTCTGCACCCCAGAACGAGTCTCGTCGTTATCCTACCTATTATTTGTTTATCGAATGGCCGAATCTGTCTTGGATCAGAGATACAGTAATTCAGGGAAATGCAATCAAAAGCAATAATAACTAACGTGTTGAACGAATTTGGATAGTTTAGAAGGAGCCAAGCCTATATCTTCATAAGGCAGTATTTTTCACCAAAATTACTTGCACTTAGTGCATATTTTTGGATAGATTTGCCTACCATAGTTTATATTCCAGCAGCCAATTGTACTAGGATTATTCTTGAACAGCAGAAGTATGATCTGTTATGCGATTTGAATCGTTTAGTTATTATTAAAACAGGCATAAATTAAATAAGGCGAAAAAACTGAAGTAATTACTTATTAACGTAATTCTGGAAAGTTAAAAAAGACAAAGAATTAGGAAGCTTCCTACAGTCGAAAATATTGCCTGTGTTACTTGCATCTGAGAGTATAACTAGTATCTTTGACAAATCTGAAAGAATTATTCCAATAACTTTAAATTTAAGGAAGTTATGGCATTTTCTATGTTGGCTGCTGTAGCCGATCGGCCTCGCGCATACATCCCTATAGTATGGTAGTATATAATAATTAAAATGGAAAAAGGTTTTTTCACGTGCCGATTCCACAAATCTTTTGAAGGTGGACATAATAATGGTAATGAATTTCTTTACAAACAATCCACTTTATGTCACTACGGAAATACGTAAGTAAGTAAATAGTATGATTTATTCTATACTACTCTGATAACGTGAATCCATTTTTTCAACCCTTTGCAGCAAACCGTATCATTGCAGTTTTGAATGCGACGAAAAGGAGGAAACAGTAATCAAGCTACAAAGCAGTGGTTGTGCTGCACAAGAGGGTGGCTGTAAGCATGGTGTACCGCTATTAATGTGGCTGCACAGAAGAAGCGAAGAACCACCATGCACTTCCGAGAAGTGCTACTGGACAAATGCCAGATTACCTACTATTGGCAGTAATCTAAAATTCATAGAAGCCTCTCAGATGATTACACATTAAGCTCTCACTTGACCGACGTCTATGCATCGCCGCGTCGGCGCAAACAAGGTTTGAACAGTGTTTCGCCTATAGCCACAAGATGATGACTATACAAATACTCACATTATCTCGAAATGAAAGCAAAAGTCAAATCTATTTCTGTTCTCCTTTCAATCATTTAGATTCTTTATCTTATCATGTGAGTCATACAGACTAAGGCCCAATTTCACCAACAACAGTCCGTTATTCTCCACCTATAGGGTCACAGACCGTCAGATGCAGCGAATGAGCTTCAAGTTCCAGTCAACAAATTTTAGCAACCAATAGCTATGAAATGTTGAAAACAAAATACTGTCAAAGTATGAGATGACACCTTGTCATTTAAACATCACCAGCTTATTGAACATTAAGAAATTACATATAATTCAGTCAAAATTTTAAGAAATGTTTGATTTTTGAATTAAATTCATGTTTTAATTTCTATTGTTGATTTTTTATTCATGTTTATATTATTTTCTTCAATTGATATGTGATACTGGATGTTTTTTTCCTATAAACCTCTTTCAGAGAGCCATTAAGCACCTACTTGATGACAGGCTCTACCTTAGATTGATATTACCATAAAACCATTCAGGTTCCTTGATATCCATACATCCATAATGTTGAATATTTTTCGTTGTTCAGGAACTGAACAAACATCCACACTATATTCACAGCGATTAATAAATTCCCAAATATACGCCTTAAAGCTACCATCAAACCTAAAACCTGAAAAAAAAAAACTGCAAATTTGCCATATTTTTCTTTTTTCACGAGTACACATTCTAGGTTATATTTATATTAGACATTATTTGACTACAGCTGATTATTGCATCTCAAGGAGTGATACATGTGTGGGATCTGTCAACTCTTGGTACCAGTCACAAAACATATTATACTCTAAAGGTTTGATTCCATGCTATTCAATGACAACACGGTGACTTGTGTGGTTATCAGCGGCCATTTTGTGAGGGTGCGACAGGGTTGCCAGATTGTGCATTAATATCCCGTTTCACCCTCCTGGTCCCAGTGGAGTAAGTTCCGCCAACTGTTGAAATATACTCTACTATGCTTTATAAGACTATTCGTGACATTTTTTCCAAAATCATTGCACAACACTTGAAAAAATGCAAATGAAAATTTAAAATTATTTCCTTGACGCCGCAGTATAGCTCCGTCGGTACCTTGGGTTATACATCTTGACAGTAGGGATGTTCGATACGATCCTATATTTAGAAGTATCAATAGATTTCACGAGTATCGTCATCTTTCGATCCGGACTGTGTCAGAAAGAGTGACTGCCATTTGGCTGCGACATTACCCTGCCAAATCAGACATATCTTTCATCATTTTCAAAGAAATTGTACAAAATCTTCAAATTCGTGAAGTTAGCGAGTTTCACTTCATACGTTGTTACCAGACATGCCCAAATCATCAGTTGCTGCCGTGATATTCATCCCGACCACTGCATCCCCACGGCTAGGAGACCTGTATGTTAAATTTGTATTGATAGGGCAGCGGGTTATGCTATAAATCATATGTCACAGTGTTTGTGCACTGATTGCAACGGTTAGATGATACCAAAAATATTTTCATAAATAGGAGATCTTTCCCATTCCGGATCGAACAATCTACCAAAGATGCTGATAATCATGATACCTGGTAAATTTTCACGAAAAAAATTCAAAACCAGCAAATGTAAAAGATTCATTTCGCACCCCCACCACGGGACGTGATCGTCGTTAGACTTGGCAACCCTGCGAGTGTCAAATAGATATCCCCGCCAGTCAAAAAAGAAAAATAGATAAACAATAAAGTTTATATAAGTTTTTTTGATTTTTGGACTTAAAAGCCATTATCTGTGAAACATTTTTCATAATTTTTGTCGATGTCCATAGTAATTGCATTATGCATCAGGAAGATGTAGGGATTGACACGTCTTACACATATTATCTGTGTTTTAGGATGGAGAGGACATAATGTTTTTATTGCTTTGAAGAAATTCATTGTCCCATAAATTAATAAATGATTACTATTATGACGTAAAGAAAGATGAGGAACTGGATGGAATGTATTTTATATTCTATTTTCTTGCAAAGTACAGACAAATCCACACTATTCAGCAGGTATGTAATGATAACTTTCAGTATATTGAAGTTGGTAAATTCAAGAGTGCCATGCATTAACAAACGTCCAAATCTGCTGCCAAATTTAACAGCTAGAAAATCGACCTATTATTTGCCGCATTCCTATTCGCTGAGGGGGATAACGGATTGTTAAATGTAAATCATGTTGGAATCAAAAAGTGGTGTTGTTTATAATACAGTCGAATTTTCACGATTTTATTCAATATTTCAATAGAAATCACTAATATTCAGAGACCTTTGACAGCTTCCGTCAAATTGCATTTCGATAAGGTATTTTCCTATTGGTCCATAATATTAATGTTGGTGAAATTGGCCCTAAGACTAATAATAATTAGCTAAATAGCTGCTTACATCAAAATGGGATTCACAGCAAAACAACGTTGATTTTTCCGACAGCGGCAATTTATCGTCCCTATACATTACCTTGCACATCTTCTTTCTAATACTTCCCTGTTTTGGCACACAGAAAAAATGTTTATCTGGAGTTGATATGATAGTATTTGTACACCTAGGTACAATAAAATATTTGCAGGTTGAAGGTTTGACTCACTTTTTACTCATTTTTAATAATAGGGGAAAGCGTGTGCGTCGCGGCGCGGCGGGCGCATCTCCTTGCAGTGGTACAGGGCTGATAAGCTTCCGACATGTGACGTCATCACTCACTCGCACGGCTCACCACACGATTCTCCAAATAATAAACTTCTGACTAGCGTAACTTTGTTATTTTTCAAGATATTAAAAAAAATTTCAGCGCTGTATTTCATTGTACTTAGGCTATCATCTTGAGTGTCTTTTGAGAAATAGGAAACTTCCTCATTGTCTTTACCCAGCAGCAGAAATGGCAGAATCCCTGATATTGGAAATAGTAGAGCACCCTGCTTGAACCCCTTTCCGTTTTTCTAAATGCCTGTGTGTCTTTCACGCAGAGTTTAGCTAAAAGCAAATACCTATTTGAACGTTATATTGTAATAACTGCTGTTATATCATTGTGACTATACTGATCTAATAAAATATTTAGAACTTATTTAACTAATTTGGTACAATGAATTTTTTGGAGCGTGCTGAGGTTCTTCAACAACAACTCTGTATGGACCTTTTAGTCTTTTAGATTCAAGAGAAAGTAAATAAGACTCAAAGTTGAAATTCCAGTTGTCCCTTTTCAGTGTCCATGATAAACTCTGGTTTCTCTCCAGCACAAAAACAGTTCTATGTCACATCTGACCTGGCATCCCAATATTGAGGTACAGACTCTTTCGTAACACCAATGACTATATCAACGCTTACCGATAAAAATGTGCTTTTATTCAGCATAAATAACTTTTAGCAGTCTCTGTTTATTTATTTAATTTTTTATTTATTCAACCAATTATTGGTAGGAAAGCAGAGGTCTGGCCCACTACATAAATACAGTAATAGACATAAAAATAAAAGATGCAGGAAACTACACAGTTTGATGAAAGACTTGCAGAGGGTCTTAATAGAAGTCACATTTGTATGGAATATATCAATTATTCTGTTATGCACATTGTTCAGAGAGTTAAACATGAAATATAAGGGAGAATAAAGGAGTAAATTGGTCCTGGGGATTGGTAAATAAAACGTTACAATGTTTCTGGTGAGACATCCTGGTATACTAAATTACAGGCGACTTGAATAAAAAGATTAACGAGTGCATTTTTCATGTATGGTCTAAACTTAGCATATAAGGCCTCCCTAATAATGCATCTTGCGGAATACCTATTTCAGGATAAATACCATTTATCTTGTACAACAGATATTTGAGAAACTTACTGTATACTTTTTCTAATGAATCGCTATATAGTAGGGATTCCAAATGATTCTAGCGTATTCAAGTTTTAACATCACAATTGTACAACATGAGAAGAGCCTTGAAGTTATAAAAATCACGAGAATTTGGCATACCTGAAACCCAGACTTTTATTTACATAATTTAGAAGAGTATTTACATGAGGATTGAATCTGTCTCATTTGGTTACCTATATAATGATAATCTATCGAGATTTGTTTTCTAGAAAATATCATGCTGGTACACATGTATGCGTCCATGGAAACACCTTATTATTATCTGGTTAAGATTATTTTTGATACATTCACAATCAACGCTGTTGCTAAAGAGTATAAATTTTCAGATTATCGGCATATAACAGAAAGTTACAATCAATGACGTCAGCAAGGTCGTTGATAAATATAATAAAAATAAGTGATCCTAATGAGCATCCCTGTTGGAATAAGCATTTGCAAAGAGCTTGTTTTGCAATTGTCTGGAACACTAGAACTTACATCCTGACTACTGACTACAATGTCGTGGATCAAAACAAATCGCTTACTTGCTCCTTCTACCTAAACCAAATTAGTTGAATGTGTTTGACAAATACATCGAAAGAACTTTTGAGAGATTAGGATCCGAACGATCTTAACAAAGTATAGGAAAAGAGAGAAGAAGGAACAGTTAAGTTAGAACGGTAGTTACCTTTCCAACAAATCATATACCCTCAATGCCTCCTTGACATGCAAATGAAGTCACTTTGAGAAGAAGTACATCATTAACACAACAACTTGACTAATGAATAATAAACCAATGAAGTAATTTACTTTCACCCCTCCTTAACGAAGAACGTCTTGCATTTTCGCCTTGTTGTTGTTCATCGTCTCTGGTGTACACACACGCACACTTCCGAAGATTTAATTTAAAGTTCGGGCAAGTTTATCCTAAGCAAACGTGCGTCTGAAGGAGTTGCCAGCTGGTTGTGCTGTTGGATTGGTGGGGAGTCGAGGAGTTGTTAGCATAAATTCTACCGTAGAACGAAATGAGAGAACTGGGGAGCATGAAATCATATGGAACAGGGTTAACATGGAAATCCAACTGAAGATTTTGGCGAAAGTGACGACACATTTCGAGACCTTACTGTCGAAGGACCAGCAATTGTTATGAACTAGTGATAACGCTACCACTAGTGAACTCAAGCGAAAAATACGTCTTTCAGGACTAACCTGTGAAATCACCATTCATATCTATGTTTTGCTGAATGCGGATTTAAAGTCGATGGGCAAACATGAAAGTAATTTTCGAGGCGCGTGAGTTTTTAAGACCTTTTTTGTTAAAATTTATCGATATATAATACATACGAAAATTTGTTAGAATACTATTAACTACTGCTTTAATGTGATGAAAAATGAGTATGCAGTTTTAAAGAATAATTTCCATTAAACTTTCATATTAACAATAAGGTAAATTAACCGCAGTATTTTCGGTGGCGTACCTTACTTGCAGTATCTAACATTTGCTAACAGTTTCTAATAACAATATTTATACAGTGTGTTCGTACTACTATAGCGTGGACTATTCATGCTGAAGGTGAGTTTACCACAACCTTAAAGGTTATGTAAAAACCAGTTTTTTATTCACAGTTTTAACAAAGTACTTAACTAGCGCGTTCGGTGCTACCTGGGACTATAAATATTTTGTGAAAATATATCTTGTCCTCAGTCTCTGTAACTGTTGGAGCATCTTTTTGGAGAGGTCCCCGTATCTACAATAGGCTCTCTGCTTTAGTTAATATTACAGGAAGTTTCATTTTACTCTTTGAGGGATGCCAAAAAATTATTAGGAAATAATGATGACTCAGCTTCATTCTTGCTTCTTAACATTTAGCCGCTAACGTACGGTCTACGATACCCCATTGATATATAAGTATTATGTGTTACAATTTGGCAACGCAGCACATCTGGATACTAGGAAGCTAGATACCTTTTGGAGAAAGCATGACGGAGCGTTTTAGTCAGTTGGCAATATAAGCTTGTGCGGCAGTGTTCTGTTATTGCCAAAACTATACCGTAGCGGTCTCAGCGACCTCACCTTAGCGAACGGGTACCGGAGATAAAAATCAACATCATGAGCAGTTTCCCTGATCGTATTCATCCTAATGATCCAAGATTTGAAGAGTGGGCGAGAAGTTTAATGGATCAAGATGACGAAGATATTAGATTCACTGAAAGTGATAATGAACTGGAAGATTCTGACATAACAGAGGAGATACATGAAGAAGATTCCGATGCAGACTACATACCAGACAAAAATGAAACTGAAAATTGGTTGGAGGAAAGAAATCAGATGGAAGATTTTTCTGTTGAAAAAGAGAGGTTTTATATTGGTAAAAATAAGTTCAAATGGTAAGAAAGTTCAGAATCTGTAACTACTAAAACATTTGTGGAGGTAATACTGGGGTGTGTGCTTTATCGTTGTTTTCTTTTCAGGCGTAGAGACCAGCCTCCAGTCAATGTAAGGACTAGAAAACATAACATTGTACTCGCTCTACCTGGACTACGACCAAAAGCTAGACAACCTCCCGCTAATCCGGATATTGAAGACATCTGGCTTCTTCTATTTTCTGAAGATATGATAGCAGAAATAATTCAATGGTCAAATGTGAAGATCATTGATGCAAGAAAAAAGTATAAAGACCAGGCAGGTCCGATATTATCCACCACCGATGAAATAGAAATGAAGGCCTTTTTAGGTATGCTAATATTTGCCTCAGTTTTCAAATCAGGAAATGAGAGCATCGAGTCCTTGTTTGCCACAGATGGCACAGGAAGAGACGTTTTTCGATGTACCAGGGCGAAAAGACGCTTTGAGTTCCTACTTACTGTTCTTAGATTTGACGATGCAACTCTACGAAATGAAAGACAAATTGAGGGCGATCGTGTGCCTCACATATCAAAAATATTCAATAAATTCATAGATAATTCCCAGAATGCCTTTTCTATTGGCACTAATGCTTTCGTGGATGAAATGCTCGTAGCATTCAGGGGCCGTTGTAAATTTAAAATATATGTGCCGAAAAAATTGGCTCGTTATGGAATCAAAATAATGTGCCTGACAGATGCCCGAAATAATTACATTTATAATACCTATATTTACACTGGGAAAGGATCAGATTCACTAACATTATCTGCAAATGAAATAAAATTGAAAATCCCAACACAGCCTGTAATCAGGCTAGTGGGGCCAATTCAAAAAACCAATAGAAATGTTACAGCTGATAATTGGTTTAGCTCTGTGGAATTGGTTCAAGAACTCCAAAACAGGGGTCTAACCTATGTAGGTACGCTAAAAAAGAATCAAGCTGCAATTCCACCAAGCTTTCAAGCTAACAAAAATCGAAAACTCAACAGCAGCCTCTACGGATACAATAATGATATGACTTTACTTTCTTTTGTACCAAAATCTTCAAAATCAGCTATTCTGATTTCATCTATGCATCATTGTGAATCAACTGGTAAGCCAGAAATAATAGCATATTACAATTCGACAAAAGGTGGCGTGGATAGTTTGGATAAAAAGTCTGCAAACTATAGTCCAAGCCGTAGGACACAAAGATGATGGCCTATGGCAAAATTTTTCATGCTTGTTGACGTAAGTACAATAAATGCTTATGTTTTGTACTCAAGCTACAAAGATACTCCAAAACTGGAAAGGGCAGATTTTCTAAAAAAGTTAGCAAGAAGTCTGGTTTTGCCACAATGGAGAGTTAAAATGGCAAACTCAAAACTCCCAGAGAATTGCGAGTGACAATTTAAAACTTATGTGGGAGCACTGACCATTCTGCTCATAGCAGTGAAGTCCTAGAAGATCGCTTGGAAAAAAGAGCAACATGTTACAGATGTCCACCAAAGTTGAAAAGGAAAACTCAATACCGATGAGCATCATGCAAGAAACCCCTATGATTGCAATGTTCCAAGAAGATGTGCATTGAATGCGTGTTAGGATAGAAAGTAACTTGGAAATTGCCAGAAATCATTTTTGTGTTGTTTTTTATGTTTATGTTATCTCGCTTAGTCTAACTGAAACTTAATTACATTGTTTTTTGAGCATTTACAAATAAATATTTTTATTAAAAACGTTGTACCATTCATAAAAAGTAACAAAAACCGGTAGCGGTATCTTAAACCGCACGTTAGCGGTTGTGTGCGACTGTCGCACGTTAACGGTTAAAGGTTAAGAAGCCCTTACCAGTATTGTATGCAAGATCCCTACCCGTGCTCTAAATCGATCTCAACAAAAACCTTTTTTCATCCAATGTAAATTATAAATTTGTCTAGACTTTTGAATGGCTATGGTAGCCAAGACCATAATGAACATTTCGGAAAAATGCATTGAAGGTAGTTTCCTCTTGCATAGGTGACGTAAATTGATCTCACAGACCATGCGACTTGATCCCATTTAACTCGTTCTTGTGAAGGCTTTTCTAGTCGCGGGGTTTTGCAAATAAGTTACAATCCTCCTCAACGTAATATAACCCAGGCAATTCAACAAATTCTTCCGTATTTATGCAGCAGAGAAATTAAAAATTGAATTTTTCTAAATGGCACTGAACAAAAAAAATGACGACTCTCACATAACTTTTTTTCTCCACCAAAGTATAAAAAGTACTGTTATTCTATTTGCATATCGATCTATCTATCTTTAAAGTGTTTACCTTATGTTCGTTATAATATTATCTAGATTGGACCAATGTTCTAGCTAGTCAGTTATATATCTTTCCTCCTCGCTGGACAAGATTATATGGAACGTTTATCTCATCTAAGGCCTATTTCTTGGATCCCTCCTCCAGATCCTGCTCAACTTACCCCGTATAAAAGCCCTTCAGACAGAAACCGCTGTCTGAAATGTATCCTTGTGAAAAAGCAACTCTAGCAAACAAAGAACGGTCGGAAGCAACCAACTGATTAAAAAGAGAAGGAAAAACAGAGGGAGGAAAACAGAGAATGACACTTAACGTGCCCTAGGTCATTTAATCAAAAGAGGCAAGGCAAGGCTTTCCTATTGGTGACTTGTTGCACATATCATGGGAAAAGACCATTTTTCTTCCAAAACGTAAGGGAAAATCGTAAATTTTCCTTATCGGAACGCTAAAATAGACTTTGGGATGGTTTTAGTGAGAAACTATTTGATTTTCGAGCTTGAATTACACGCAATACTGCCCCAGTTTTTTTTGCATATATCAGAGTTTTGTTGTGAAGAGGAGAGATGTTTTAAGGTAGTACTTGCGCTTTGTAACAAGTTATAGAAATGTAAGTTTTTATATGTTCAAGGCGTATTGGCGCATGTGTTTACGTAATGTGAATGTAACGAACTGCTTTTTGTCCTGAGAATAATATATATATATATATATATATATATATGTAACATTTACTGCAGCATTTACGAGAAACTTTAATCAGTATCGGCATACCTCAAAATTTAAGTTAAATCCGCCATATAATTTTTCAACTATTTGGTTCGAGAGTTGATAAGTGTCATTTCCGTCGCATTACTGTTTCTCATTTTGGTTTCAGTTTGTGTAAGACAAAGTTAAAAAACAATCATGTGAAACTGCGGCATTATAACTTTTCTGCAAAATTAGAAATCAACCCTCTATTTCGATTGTGAAACATTCAACACTAAATTCTCTTTCGTATAGGGAAACTGCGAACAATCCACACTTATAATCAGATGTCTTTGGAGCTGCGCGTATTGTACGCAGTCGTGAACCCGACGATTGGAGAAAAATCTTAACGCCGACTGTTCCTAGTCCTTCATATTGGAATCCCAGACATTAAGAAATGGTGAATGTACGTCGAATTTCAAACTATGCACTTTCACCAAAACTAAATGTGTACTGTACTGTTGCCCAAATTTTTCGAAAATATTTTTATTATATACAGAAGATATTTTTCATTCCATTTGTTCATTAAATATGATGAGTATCAGTAAAATGCTTTCAAATTGAGGACATCATTAAAAGTGGGATGTGCTGCCTACTCAAGGTACACATTCACCTAAATTTGAAAAGTAAGCAGATTGAAATTGATAAAAACTCAACACCTCAAAAAAGTTCCTGCAATTCAGTGCATATAATCTTCCCCTCGAAAGAAAGTAAACAGGCTGAT